AAAGGTGAAATGTTCATTTATTTTATTGGCAATGAAACATTTCATCTTGTTATCACAAATATGATTAACACTGTTATGGATTTTTATAAATCATGTCATCTTAAAAATTAAAGAATATTACCACAATAAAAGAGAAAAACACTCTTTTGAAATGGCATTTCAAAAGGCAAATAAATTAGTCAACTTGAAATGCAGTTTTTTCACAAGGTGTTTTTATCTTCCCATCTTTAGAATGGTTCCTTTAGCTTACAGACTCCCATGCCCTTTCTCAGCACCAGTCAGTCAGTCAGTCAGTCACCTGGACTGACCCTACACTGGATACCTTCACCAAATAATGGAAAAGCAAGGCAAAGCAAGCAAACAGGAGACAGCCCCCCACCCATCCGCCTCTGGCTCAAGAAAATACAACGGATTTGAAAAGATCAAACATGCACCTGAAATGTTTGAAGAACACTTTTTGAGTAATGACATGTCCAAGCCAACAAGTGCAAATTACTATTGAATTTTGAAAAATTATGCCCAATTATCCTGAGACATTAATCCATCATATGCAAAATATGATCCTTGACCACAATGTTTATTTGCATCTTTTTTTCTTTTTCTGAGATGGGGTCTCACTGTCACCCAGGTTGGAATGCAGTGGCACGATCTTGGCTCATTGCAACCTCCACCTCCTGGGCTCAAACGATCCTCCCATCTCAGCCACCCAAGCAGCTGGGACTACAGGCATGAACCACCATGCTCAGTTGATTTTTTTCGTACAAAAATGCAAAAATACACGCTGGTCTTAAACTCTTAAAGTCAAGTGATCCTCCCACCTCGGCCTCCCAAAGTGCTGGGATTATAGGCATGAGCCACCATGCTTGGCCTGCGTCTTCATTCTTACTGTTTCCTTTGCCTAGAATGCCTTTCCCCTACATTTTCACCTGATTAAATTGTACCTCTCACTTCAAGTCTAATGAAAAGGTTCCCAGTTTTGTGAAGCCTGTGCTTACTACCTCTTGGCTTATCTGTTGTACTGGAGACTACAGTCCACCCAACGCTCCTCATTAGAATTTCATGAGTCATACTTCTTCCGTATCTCTGATCACTTCTCTTCTAATTATTTTGATGACTGTTCTTCTCTTGCCCTTTTCCTAACAATGCCTTGAGGATTGAGTATTAGGGAATTCTCTTTCCTGTACTCATGTGATCTCCCAAGGCTTTATCTTCCAGTAATTACCCTTTACTGGAGCTCCAGGTCCATTTCTCGAGCTGATTCCTGGACATATCCACTTGGATATCACTGTCATCTCAAGCTCAACATGATCAACCTAGACTAATCTCCCCCCATCCTCTACCGTCACCCCAGTTTCCTTACTTAAATCCAGAGCTTACCATGTCTTCTGAGCTTCTAGGGCTCTTGATGGTGACATCTTCTTTGAGTCAACATCTTCTTTTTCACATATATCCAGTCAGACAGATCAGAGGGTAGCTTAAGTCTTGCGCTCCATGAAACCTGCCTCTCTGCTCTAAGGTCTGGAGCGTTCCACACTCCAAATTCAATTTCTCTCTTAATCGTGAATGGGGCTTTTATGAACATTTAACTGTTTCCTGTAGGCTAGAATGAAGTCCTGTCATTCTTCACTTGAAATGGATCTCATTTTCTTCTCTTCCTACTCTTCAACTCCTTCCCCATGTGCTCTCATCTCCTCTCACCTAGGTTAGAGCAGTAGCCCCATAAGTGGCCTCCCTCCAACACAGTAAACTTGTCCACTCTGACCCAGGGCTTATGACCACAAAGAATACTCTACTTCCTCTTCTCTGCTTAGCCAAGTCCTCCTCATCTTCTAACAGTGGGGTCTTTGCCTACCTCTACCAAAAAACCTTCCTGGATCTTCTAGTCTACACGGAAGACTCTCCTTCTTTGGGAGGGAGTGTTGAGTACAGAGGGGAAAGTGGACTTTGGAGCTAGACAAACCTGCGTTTGAGTCCCAGTGATGTCATTTACTCATGGTACAATCCCCATTTCTCTGAGCCTCAGTTTCCTCATCTATAAAACAGAGAAACTCACTTTCACCTTGTAGAGCTTTTGTGAGGATTAAATGAGATCATGTATATAATGTGTCTGGCACATAGTAACTCCTATTATTACAATGGAGGTCTTGAGTTTTTTCCAAGGCTGATACATTTTGCAACTTCAGGGCAAGTCTCTGTGAATATCACCCTTCCAGTTGTGAAATGCTCAACTTGCATATTGTAGCCCAAGTCTAATGTATCTAGTGTTGATTGTCTGCTAAGTTGTTTGTGTTTTAGTATTAAATAATCTGTTAGCTTCTGAAGAGAGGGTAGGCGAGGGATGTGCTAGCTCTCTTGTACATAGTCTCCTATACCACTACTGCTTTAGCCCCATCACTCATCACCGTCACCGTCCCCCACTCTACCTACATTGTATTGGACCAGACCACTTGCGCTTTCTCTGATGACCTCAGCCCAAGTGCTCACGTCTGTGCACAGGCACATGCTCTGGGCTGGAGTAGCCTCTATAGCCTCTACCTCTGTAGGCCTCTTTACTTGTCTCCCTCACCCCAATTAGATTGTGTCAGTCTTGTTCCCCATTGCATCCCCAGCATCTAACATAGTACTTGGCATTAAGACAGGCTCAATAAACATTTTTTTGTATGAATACACTGTTTTCAGGGATTATTACTTAGTTTTCCTCAAGAAGGGGTAGGAGATTTTTAAATGAACAGCTATTTCTTCAGCTACCGTGACTGAATTTCTAAATTTACTCATCTACTGAAGCACTTTGCCTATATTCAATATGCAAACATTGTGTCAACATTGTGTAGTTTTAATTAATTAATTGATCTTTGAGACAGGGTTTCACTCTCACCAAGGCTGGAGTGCAGTGGCGTGATTATGGCTCACTGCAGCCTTGACCTCCAAAGCTTAAGTGATCCTCCCACCTCAGACTTCCAAGTAGCTGGGACTACAGGTGAGCATCACCGTGCCCAGCTAATTTTTAAAATCTTTTGTAGAGATGAAGTCTCACTATGTTCCTCAGGCTGGGCTCAAACTCCTTGGCTCAAGCAATCCTCCTGCCTTGGCCTCCCAATATGTTGGGATTACAGGTGTGAGCCACTGCATCTGGCCAAATTAATTATTTAATTTTTTTTTAAATTTATTTATTTAACTTTAGGTGCATACTATATCTGGCATTTCTCCGCATGTTATCCCTCCCAACCTTCCCCTCTCTCTCTACGCCCCGCTGTCTCTCCCCTACCCCCTCAACTGTCCCGAGTGTGTGATGCTCCTCTCCCTGAGTCCATGTGTTCTCGTTGTTCAGCACACACCTGTGATTGAGAACATGCGGTGTTTGGCTTTCTGTTCTTGTGTCAGTTAATTTATTTTTAACGACAAGTTAAAAAAAAAATATATATATATATATATGTGGTGCACAATAAGATGCTTTGAGATAGTCTGCTTCTTAATAGGTATGTGGCCTTGGGCAGGTATCTTCATCACTCTGTGCTTCAGTTTCATTATTTATAAAATAGATATAGGAATAGTATTTCTCTTACAGGTTGTAGTGAAGATTAAATGAGATGCTTCTACTATTTGGAATGTGTTCTCCTCGGATCATCTCAGAACTCTCTCCTTCTTCACATGCAAGACCCAGTTGAAATGACAAGTCTTCAGAGGCCTTCCCTAAAATTTAGGTTCTCCATAGCATTTGTTGCAATATAGATTTATCTTTATTTATTTATTTATTTATTTATTTATTTTCTATGTGACCTCAATTTTTCTGAGTCCCTTTCTATTCACTGCTATATCCTCTGTGCCTAGGACAGTGCCTAGCATCATGTAGTAGCATTCAATAATAAGTTTTTGTTTCTTTTTTTTTTTTTTTTGAGACGCAGTCTCGCTCTGCCACCCAGGCTGGAGTACAATTGCATGATCTTGGCTCACTGCAACCTTCACCTCCCAGGTTCAAGAGATTCTTCTGCCTCAGCCTCCCGAGCAGCTGGGACTACAGGCGAGCACCACTATCATGCCCGGCTAATTTTTGTATTTTTAGTAGAGACAGGGTTTTACCATATTGGCCAGGCTGGTCTCAAACTCCTGACCTCATGATCCGCCTACCTTGGCCTCCCAAAGTGCTGCGATTACAGGCATGAGCCACCACACCCGGCCATTTTTTTTTTTAAAGATGGAATCTTGCTCTGTTGCTCAGGCTGGAGTGCAACATCACGATCTCGGCTCACTGCAACCTATGCCTCCTGGGTTCAAGCAATTCTCCTGCCTCAGCCTCCCGAGTAGCTGGGACTACAGGTGCATGTCACCATGCCCGGCTAATTTTTGTATTTTTAGAAGAGACAGGGTTTCACCATGCCAGCCAGGCTGGTCATGAACTCCTGACCTCAGGTGATCCATCTGCCTCGGCCTCCCAAAGTGCTGGGATTACAGGAGTGAGCCACTGCTCCTGGCCTCAATAATAAATTTCTGTTTAACAATTCACTTCCTGTTACTTCTTGCTTTCTCTCTTACCCCTTTGAGAAATCTAATAGCCAAACTTTGGCAAAAATTTTCTGATCATACATGTTGGGGGAGAAAAAACTCCTTTCAAAGCACTATCAGTCTGCGGCTAAAGCATAAGCTCTGGCTCTCGACATGAGGAGTTTACCATCTAGCTGGTGGGTAGTGACTTGAGTGCTTCTTAGAACCATTGATGGTTTATAAATCACCAGTGCATTCTATGCTTTTTGTGGATAAAAAGTGACACAGTTGCAGATTGAACTAAGAAACAATGTAGCTAAGTACTGTTAGGGGTGCAGAGTGTAAGGGAAATGGGGATAGAGATAGAGGGTCAATTGCTGAAGGCTTTCTTAGAGGAACTTTAAGCAGAGGGAAGTCATGCTAGAGAGATGAGACCAGGCACCACTGTTTGCAAACCACTTAGAACAATGCCTGGCCCATACCAAAAATGAGATGTGTTTATTAAATAAAAATGCCCGACATATTTTTATGCAATCAGAATTTTATTTTTTTGTTTACACATGATTATAAAAATATAGAAAAAGGCTTAATTCATGAGGTTGCTATGGGTTGCTCTTTCTCAAAAGTGCTCACGTGAATAGCATAAGAGCACTTATTTGTGAGATATTTGTACACTACATACTAACTCTAGAAATAACATGTTCAGGAGATTCCAACCCTGGGGATCACATGGATCCAATCAGATCATCTGCGCGAAGAGACCAATCTTCGGAAATATCAAGAAAGTGAGATGGCTGCAGAGGTCGGGCCTCCTGAGCCTCTGCTTGGTGACAGGGGACCTGGGTATGCTCTTCTTCATTGAAGACACAAGGTGGACAATCGCAGTTGGGCCTTTGGCTGGGCTGTGACGAGGCGAATACCTCAGAGCATTTCTCATCCTTCTGGGCTGTGGCCCTGCTCTTGCTGGCTACTCTCATGAAACCCCAGGGCTTGGTGAGCCATGGGGACTTTTTGGGGGCAGCACATGACACTGGGATCACAAATCTAGATGGCGTGCCCTTGGAAGAGTAATGTATCTCAGTGCTGTAGATAATCGTGTCTGGAGAGACAGCTTTGACCCTGATGCCACATTGAGTAACACGGTAGACGAACTGGTAGGCATGTGGCTGAACATGGTTTGGGGGGCAACCCAGACCCATGTGTAGCTCATTAAAGTGTACACAGACATCGTTGTTTAGCATGAAGGGGTGCACTGTGACCATGAACCAATCTATGGAGCATAGCACAGTCATTGGACTTTGTCCTGAACAGGCTGAAAACGCGGAGGTGAGGAGGACCATCACTCCTATGAACTCAAACACTTTCATCCCTGCAGCCAATCAGATAATGAACCACAGGAAACAGGAAGCCGTCCAGTGAGGATTTCTAGAGCACATAAAAACACAAGAGGCAAATCATCTTATTTTCTATGAAAGTTCAAACATGATCTATTTTTTAAGCAAAAGGCTGTCCCTAAAGCATTAAGAAGAGGAAAACATTCATTTGAGAGAGAACTGAATTTGAATTTCATTGTTGGAACTCACGTGCTTATGGACAATTACAATGGCTTTTAAAAGTGACTTTCCCATGCTGTTCTAGTATAAAACATATATCCCAAATATGCGGAACAACAGTTTACACTGATCAGCACTGGCATCCTTTTGTGTTTAACCTCAAGACGAACCCAAAACGGAACGGTTTTTGTCTCAAACATTGAATAAAGAGATAGGAGATAGCGTTTAATTCAAGATGGCAATACTTGCCTCTTTATGGGCCTCAATGTCCTCCCATAGACCATACTAATGAACCCTTCCCTATTGCTTTTTTGTTGTGGTTAGCAACAAATCTGATCAAATAAAAACATAAGGAATTGTGGTTTATTCCTAACAACCAAATGTTGAAATTTTGCCGAGTGGCACTTAAAATGATCAAACAAATGCTTCATAAACTCTGGCAGCAGCATCATAAGTCATTATGACCAATAGATTCCCTGGTATATTCTTTGGAACACCTTGTAAAATAGTGACATTGCAGAAACATAAAAACATTTTTTTTTTTTTTTTTTTTGGACAGAGTGTTGTTTTGTCAGCGGACGCCAGGCTGGAGTGTAGTGGTGCGATCTCGGCTCACTGCAACCTCCGCCTCCCGGGTTCAAGCAATTCTCCTGCCTCAGCCTCCCGAGTAGCTGGGACTATAGGCACACACCACCATGCCCATCTAATTTTTGTATGGGGTTTCACCATGTTGGCTAGGTTGTTCTCAATCTCTTGACCTCGTGATCTGCCCGCCTCGGTCTCCCAAAGTGCTGAGATTATAGGCGTGAGCCACCGTGCCTGGCCAACATGCTGGTTTTAAATTTTACATTTTTCAATGCATATTACACATGAAAACTACTGTAAAAATCTTATATTAAAGAAAGGGGCTTGGTTGTAGCAGCTCATTCCTGTAATCCCAGTACTCTAGGAGGCTGGGGTGGGAGGACTGCTTGAGCCCAGGAGTTCAAGACCAGCCCCGGGAACATAGTGAGAGCCTGTCTCTATAAAACAATACAAAAAACTAGTCGAGCATGGTGGCGAACATCTGTAGTCTGAGCTACCCAGGAGGCTGAGGTAGGAGGATTGCTTGAGCCTGGGAGGTTGAGGCTTATAGTGAGCCAAGACTGAGCCACTGCACTCCAGCCTGGGCAACGGAGAAAAACTTTGCCTCAAATTAAAAAAAAAAAAAAAAAAAAAAAGGAAGAAAGGGAGGACTGTTTGTACTTTACACACCAATTGACAAGATATCTCCTTAAATCTTTGCTTTACATACTTTTACTTTTTCTAGCTTTTTATTGTTTTCTTTTTCAATAGGAAGCTCTGTGGCCACTTCCTAGTCCTGTTGCTTTTAGCTGTCAAAGAGTGGCAGGCAGACCAGCGAGGAGAAAAAGCGGTGCTAGGAATAAATATCTAAAACATGTTCTCAGAAGGAGGTAAGAGATGAAGAAAGAAGACAGCAAGAGCAACATCATCCAATGTTTTCCAACTCAACTTTCATTTTACAAGTGAAAATGACATAAGTCACAGAAAGTGCCTACAGTTTGGAAGGAAATGTACATGCATGTAGGAATTCACTTTTGCTCCCTGCTGAGAGAAGTAACCCCTACATACATTCATTCTTTGACTAATATTTGTTGAATGCCTACTATGTGCATAGCAATGGGCCAAAACGTGTCCCAAGACATTTCTTTTCTCTCTTTTTACCGAGTTGCAAAAATGCAGCTCTTTCTCTTCCCTTGATAGTGACAAATTTGCTGCATTCTTTAATGGAAACCATGGCATAGGAGCCCACTAGAAAAGTGCACTGGCCTGGATGAGATGTTTTGTTTCTGATTGGTACAGACTGGTCTCACTATCTTTCACTCTGCCATTAATGATTCCTCATTCTCTCAGAGGTGCTGGGGATGTAAAAGAGAAACCCCCAAAGATCTGCCAGGCTCCTTCCTTTCCTCTTTGTTCCTTCTGAAATGTCTGTCCAGGGACCAGTTTTTGGGGTTTTGTTTTTCACAAAGCAAAAAACAGAAGCAGCAGGAACAAACAAAAACTTACCTCCTTTCTCTCTCCCCACCCCCCAGCACCAAAACAACAACAACAACAACAAAAACCCAAAACAAACAAAAAGGAAACAATGATAACAACACAAGTAAATTCTGATGTGAGCTGGTCCTGGAGGACTCGACAGTCAAGCAAAGCAACCACCTGCTCTGGAACACTGCACCACATTTGCTGAGGTGCCTTTTGGCAGCTGAGATAATCAGCCCATCACTACTGCCTGCACTACTGCCTTGGTCTGAAGACCACCTTGTCCTAAATGTGCTTTACGTGGGTTTTGTCTCCCTTCCTGTCTCCCTTCCTGCCTCTCTTTCTCTGTCTTCTTTCCTTCTTTCTTTAACATCATCCCACAACCTGGGCCTAATTGCCTGAATGAAAACCTCCTTAAGTAATTCTGGACTAGGCCAACGAAAGAACAATTTTGACTGAAACCCCAAAACTAACACCCAAGTTTAAGGCTACTCTTTTCCGGGGAGCTAAGCCATCCATTTCCTCTCCCTCCTTCAAGCATCTTTCCTGTACTCCTCCTCCTTTCTCCCCATAGATAATCCAAATATAATCATAAAATGTCTAGAATTTCTGAGAAATGAGACTGTTGCCCCTCAAGCAATCATTATAGACTACCTCACTTCCCACCCCCGCACATTCACTTCTTGAATTATGTTGCATTGAATCAATCTCAAAGGAAGGAGTTCAATAACGTCATGGAGTTTAGGGGTTCATTTAGTACAAGCCTCCAAATGTGAACACGGCAGAATGTTTCCTCTGATTTTTATAAAGCCAAGAACAGCTCACCATGTGATAGAGAAATAAATGAAGATGACTATGCGTGAGACAGGATACCCTTGAGCTCAGATAAAACTGAAAGAGGAGGTCACTGAGACCCAGGTCTAAGGTTGCTCATCTCTAAGGGGACAGAAAGAGATTAGGGGGAGAGCAGAATGTACTTTCTAATGAGCTTGTGAATGCCTAGCTCACTGGCACACTTTGGGACTTTCTCTTCCTGCTGAGTACAGATCCTCAAAGCGAGGCAGCCTCCCTTCTGCTACCTGCAATTACTAGGGAAGGGTAGAGCAGTGTATGCAGGGTGTGCCCACGTGTGTGTGTGTGTGTGTGTGTGTGTGATGGGGGATGATTATTTTAATTCTTTTTTTTTTTTTTTTTTGAGACAGAGTCTCGCTCTGTCACCCAGGCTGCAGTGCAGTGGCATGACCTTAGCTCACTGCAACCTCCACCTCCTGACTTCAAGCGATTCTCCTGCTTCAGCCTCCTGAGTATCTGGGATTACAGGTGCATGCCACCACACCAGGCCAATTGTTTTATTTTTAGTAGAGACAGGGTTTCGCCATGTTGGCCAGGCTGCTTTCGAACTCCTGACCTCATGATCCACCCGCCTCGGCCTCCCAAAGTGCTGGGATGACAGGCGTTAGCCACCGCTCCCGGCGGGGATAGTTACAAGTCATTCACAACAGAGTTCATCAGCTGGCTTTTCTAACACCTTGCTGAGATGTGCTGGAAGAATGGGATCCTGAACAAGAGAGGGAGAAAGTGGGCTGTAGTTATTGGAGGAAGAGCGAAAAGAAGGCTGAGGGCCTAGAGATGGGAAGGAGGTGCCAGAAGAGAGGGCAGTGTGGGGGTGCCCAGCTGAAGGTATTTTTAACCATCGTTCAGGCATGCACAGTATCCCAGGAGCTTAGGGCAGAATTCTATTTAAAGTCTTCAGAACTCTTTAGAGCTGAGGTGGAGTTGGGGACCGGGGAAGAAATAAATGCAAAGAAGGGAGCACTCATTTTGGGACTACTGTACAGCTTCTTGGGGAGCCCTCTAGGCTGAGAAAGAAAGCAGGTCTCAAGGTTTGTATTACTATAGCCGCATTTTGACTTGATTGCAAATTAGCCTTGCAACATGCCTGAAGCAATGAGCTTAGATGCATTTGTATAGCCAAGTAGGGCTCAGCTGTTAGTACACAGCGTCCTGAACTAAGCTATAGAGAGGTCAGGCAAACCCAGAGCTGCTAATAACACCTGGATGCAAAATGTTTGCTTTCCTTGAAGCTACAGAGTACAAGTAGCTTTCTGTTTTTTCTAAATGGAGTTTCCCACTGGCTCCTTTAACAGTTTTCCTCTTTCTCCTTTTTTCAAGAACTCCCTGATAAGCCTTAACAAGTTCTTTACATTAAAAAATCACAACAAGTTTCATTTTGGGAATATAAACTACATTTCCTTTCTTCTCCCATAATCAAATCTGCTCTTTTAATTAAGTTCAGAAAAATTCCAGTGTTTATGTTTGAGAGATATCTACATCAGTCACTGACAATGGTACAATCTGATTAGCAAAGCCCGACTGAGATCTTATAGTACTTGTAAAACCAAGACAGCCTTTTTCTTCTTATAGGCAGGAAGAGAATGGATTGGCTCAAACAAACAAAAAAAAGGAAAGAGGAAGAAGGGCTGCCACGTAACTCTCCATCGTTAATTTTTTTATGCTGAAAATGCTGCTTATAAAGTTCAGCGTTGTTCTGTTTTAAAATTGACAAAAACTGTATGTATTTATGGGATACAGTGTTCCATATATATACATGTAACAATGATCTATGTATATACATTGTGGAATGATTATTTTAGATCAAGCTGGTTAACATGTCCATCGCCTTACTTAAAGAAGTAGAGAGTAGAGTGATGGTTGGTGGGGTGGCGTGGATGGGATAAAGGGAGATCCTGGTCAAAAAGTGAAAGTTTCAGTTAGACAGGAGGAATAAGTTCTAGTGATCTATTGCACAGCATGGTGACTTCAGCTAAT